ACCATTTTACTGTACTGTGTTGACGGCCTCTACCATTTTAAGTGAGTACAAGTGGTGCTTGAGAGCTATGGTATAGAGGTAAAGGCATAGGGTAAAAATTGGGAGACCATGTATTCCAATCCCACTTTAGGAACAAAAGCCGCTGTGTATTCTTGGACCAGTCACACACTCTCTCAGCCATAGAAAGCAGGAAGTGGTAAACAACTTCCACTATCATTGCCAAGAAAACTGCAGTTGCCAGGAGTCAACAGTAATGTGAAAGTGCAAAATACATATATTCAAGTGGTGCTTATGAATGCACCTTTTGGTATTTGTTAGGAATAATATGGTTACCTAACTTTGGGTAAAATAATATATATAGACTATGATTGTATGTATCACTTTAACTGTAAAACATGTATATTTACCTGAAATTTTCTGATACATTGGACTCCAACTCCCATAATTCCCACATAACTCAGCTGTACCTATATGGGCACTTTGTAGAAATTGTCTCTAGGACACAACTGTTTACAGCAAAGACTTCTAATACATATCAATATTATCTTTTGATATATGTTAAAAACATTCACTTGCTTTTTACATATAATTTCCATTCCAAAGAATGTTCAAGCAGGTGTGTCCAAGTGTCACAAGTAGTTAAATCAATTACAGTCTAATCAACAATTTAACTATAGTTCTGCCTCTGTTTTTAGGGATTTGTGTTGTATCATTTCTCAGCTAAAGTGTCAAATAGCTTTTTCCATTAATCTAAATAAATCTTCGTAGAAATAGGTTAGAAATTTATTTCCTGAAAGTTGAAAGTCTGTATTACCAGGAACTGCATTCCTCGTTTAGTCTCACCAGCAAAGATCAAGTAGATAATCTTTCCTAGTGTTAGTGCAGCAATTTATCAGGGCTTGCTAGTTAAAAATTTAAGCATGTAGTAATTAGAGGCTTCCAAGCTTGAAATTCATGCACTTTCCCTTTTTTTTAATGGACTCAGTAGAGGCTTGTCAAGCTTAGTATTTGACTAATGCAGATTTTATATTCCTTGCTCAAAGCTTTCAAACTCAGTATGGGTGAAATCTTAAATCACTTTTTGAGCAGGAGTGCTGCTTGAGAGAGAACATCTCAAAGAAAACCTTGTAGAAGTCTCTATATTACCAAAGGCCAACAAGACAACTTATTGTACTTGTTCAAAATATTCACTATTGTATAATCAGAAGAACTGTAGCAATTAAATATCACATCTGTTGTCCAGTTGGGCTTACAAAAACTACAGCTCATCATGACTGTAGAATAAAATGAACCAGATATCTTAGGGAGAGTTCTACATAGGAGTGTGTGTGTGTGAGAGAGAGGGGGGGAGGGGCGTGGGATTCTACCAGTTCGCACCTATTCGCTAGAACCAGTTGTTAACATTCTAAGCAGTTCGGAGAACTGGTTGTTAGAAGAAATTACTGGCCTAATCCTGTAAGGAACTGCCTCTCCATTAACCCTTATTACATTCTTGGCAGGACTAGACTTCCTGTCTCAGGAACATATCTGGAGCTTTTTTCCCCTCCTTTGCTGGTAGTTTGCTTGTGTGGAGTGACCATTCAAAGTTACAGTGGCACTGAAAAAAGTGACTTATGACCATTTTTCACACTTACGACTGTTGCAGCATCCCCACAGTCACGAGAGGCCAGGCGAGGAGATGCATGCCTCGATGTGAGTGATATTGAGTTGGCCAAGCCCAGCCAGTCACATGACCACCAAGCCGTGTCCACCACCTAAACCACACCCACAGAACCAGTTGTTAAAAATTTGAATCCCACCCCTGGTGTGTGTGTGTGTATTTGTATATAGTATATATAGTTCACAAATGGTACGGGAATAAATACATAGAATTCAGTGAATGTGTCTGAAAAGCAACTCAAATACATGGTACTATGGAATAACCAACTAAAGAATGGATTTTTAACTAGAGTAATGTTTATTTAGGTCAATGTTTCTGAGCAATCTCAGCAACTTTTTTGTGAACTTCAACTCCCAGAATACCTCAGCCAGTATACATCCTAAACTTGCTGTGATTGAGAAATACTGTCATAGTTTGATTTTATAGTTTATAATTTGAGATGTAGTTTATAGAGTTATAGTTTGCTTATCTGTGGTTTATTAAATAAGGCACAGGGGATCCAGTTCAAATTTCATATTAAATCATTAAACTATAGTTTACAAACCATTGGACATAGGCACACAAACACACTGTAAAATACATGGTTCATCAAAATGTATGATACAGACTTAACTTTATCCAAAAGGTTAATGACACCACCATATTTTCCCCAAAGATATATTGAATACACATTGGAGAGAGGCTTATACTAGAACCAGTTTACTTTCTGGTATTTACTTGCATAGGAGAGAAGGGAAGGCTTTGCTTTTCTGATGAATATGAGTATTGATTTATTTGTTTATGTCTAATATAAGTGAAACTGTTTAGCATTCTAATAATTTCTTATCAAATGTGGATCTAAAAGTAGAGCATATCCAAGTATGGGGGCTAAAAAGAAATAATCCTTGGATATATGACTTGGATGATGGAAATTGTCTTCTTTTGCACTTAATACATTAAATAAGAGGGCTATTGCTCTTATTTAATGTGTTAGCAATTGTTAGTATTGCTCCCCATTTGGCAATTTTTAGACTTCTCTCAGGTTTAGACTTCTTGGGTTCATATATTCCAAAACTAAAAAATGAAATACTTTGCAGCCACCAAATTTATATATAACTCATATCTTCTTTTGCTGCATTGAAATCATGTTCAAAAATCATTAAAAACTCCTCCATGCCCTGTTTCTCTGGTGCTTCTTGGTGTCTCCGATCCAACTTT